GCCATCTGTCCAGGGAGCAGGCCACGGCCCTCTGTCCAGGGAGCAGGCCACGGCCGTCTGTCCAGCAGGCCACCGCTGCGGGAGCGCCTGGGGGTGGCGGGAGGAATCCCAGACGCACTGCACAGTGACGGCAGGGCAGAGGTCCGGGAGAGAAGAGCCGACAGTCTCAGCGGGGACAGAGGGCGCCCGGTGCCCGGTGCCCAGGCCAACGCCTGCCTGCGGGGTGCAGGCCAGCACTGGCACCGGCGGCCACGCAGACGTGAATGAGCGAGGCCGATGCAGACAGCGCCTCGGAGTCACGCCGGAGGCCAGGGCTCTGAGCCGGGCCGCGGGGGCGGGCGCTGCAGCCCAGCTGCTCTAGAGCCCAGAGTCTGTGCTGGGGGCCTGGGGGGCAAGAAATCAGTCGTCGCCTAAAATCAAGGTAACTCCAAAACTGTAGCAGGCGTCCTCACGAATAAGCTTCTGAAACCCCAGCTCCAGCCCCCGCTCTAAAGTAGACCAAAAATACCAGCCAGCACGGGCAGGCGGGCCGTGTCCCAACCTGTGGCCCGAGGCCGTGGAGGCAGATGTGCCAACCTAGGACGCGTCCGTGGGCCCAGGCTGCCCCCCGCCGAGCGGAGCCCGCCCCCCTGGCCGCCCCCAGCGCGGCGTTGGGCCAGCTCTGCCGTCCCTGCTGCCACCGCCCAGGCTTTCAAGGTGAAACGCGCCCCGTCTCCAACTCTGCACCACCCAGGGCCTCGCCGGGCCCTGCGACTCGGGGCGTATTTTCCTGCCTGCACTTCAGCCTGCTCCCTCTGGGTTTCTCCCCAGAGGGACTTGAGGCACAACAGGCAGCTCCCCACAAGAGCAGGGTGCTCTCGCCTCCTCTCCCCTGTCAGTGCCCGATCAGTCTGCCATGCATGGGTGGTGGGCAGCCATGCATGGGCGCTGCCCACGCAGAGGCAGGCGCGGAAGGGCATGTCCGCAGGCGCGGCCTGGGGAGGAGGAGCTGGGCACGCCCCAGGTTTGTCCAGGGAAGAGGTTCGGTCTGGAGGACGCCAGCCCGCGGGAGTCCGGGAGCGGCTCCCGCGGGGACAGACGGCAGGCGGCCCCCAGCCCCACGCGAGACGCCCCAGGACGGGCCGGGCTGCCCTGGCGGAGGTGGCGGGAGTGGGGACCCCGGCTACACCCTCCCCTGAACCCGGCTGCAAGAGCCTCCCCTGAGGGGCCCTCCCAGGAGCCGCAGGTGGTCAGGCAGCCGCCACCTGAGCGTCCCACAGAGGGGTCAACGAGGCCCAGGCAGGACTGGCCGGAGGGGACGCTGTGGCCTTCACAGGCTGCTGCCCACGCCTCTCCTCACGGCCACCGTTAGCGAGAAGTGTTTCTGGGCGCCTTCTAGACAGGGCGGGCCTTGCGCTGAGCATCTGTCCTGGAGGCCGGCCGCTCTCACGGCAGCGCTGGGAGGGAACAGCCCCGCCTGAGTCCACGCGGCAGCTGACTGGGAGGCCGGTCCGAGCCCAGGCCACCGGCTGGCCTGCGGGGGCCCCCTGGCACTGAGGCCTCGCGGCCAGCTCCCGCTGGCTCTGGATATCCACACTAAATTCCGTGGCACCTAAAATATACGTATGGGGGCCCTCCCTGGTGGCACAGGGGTTAAAGCACAGCACTGAGAAGCTAAAGCCACTGCAGTGTGAGTTTGATCCCCATCAGCCCCGAGGTGACCCCAGGGCACGATCCCCATCTGCCCTGAGGTGACCCCGGGGCACGATCCCCATCTGCCCTGAGGTGACCCCGGGGCACGGCAGACTTCTCCTGACCCGCCCGCAGCTGCTCCCCTCAGCAGCGGGCTCCGTCCATCGGCCTGTTGTGCTCCCCACTGTGCCTCTGGTGAAGCCTCTCACCCCCTGCACCTCTGTCCTGTACCCCAGTTCGGTATGAATACACAAATCTTTAAATCTATGTGTGTGCATATGGAGGCGGGGCTTGTGGTAAGGGCAGGCTGGAAAGGGCAGGCTGGAGCGCTGGCACTGGCGAGAAAATCCACAGCGTTCCAGGGGGTCGCTCTGAGCCAGGGGCAGCGGGGGCCCTGGGGCCACGCAGAAGCCTGGAGCCCTGGGAGCCCGGGGCGAGTCCGCAGGGACCCTGACGGCGGAGGCCTCCTGGCCAAGCCGCCGGTGACACCCTGCTCGCCCAAACGTCTGACTCGGTGTCTTTGCAGAGCCATGGGGAAGGAGCGCCCGGCGCTGGGCTGGGCGCTCGCCGCCGCCCTGGCGCTGCCGCTG